TCCGGCGCCTCGTCTGGGCCCGCTCTGCAGCTGATTACCACGCCGCGGCAGTCATTTGGACCGGCTGCAGCGGCCCTGTTAAACTTGGACGCGAAGCAGACCGCCGTGGCGCTGCAGCGTGCTAACTGCCAGCCGCCGGCTCTAAATTGTCTCTGTCAAAAGTTGACTGGCCGTGTGACAAAATGGCGATTAGTTGTTCCTGACCTCGGACCACACATACGGCTCATAACTATGCCGAGTTTGATCGATACACTGGCCAGGTAATACATGTAAATAGATTCTAAGCAAAGACGGAATGATTCCCGTTTAAGAGACCGGCTACGTGAGATTGAAACACATCGACCCCTCCAGCCAGAACGCCGCTTTCGGCAATGGCGTCGTCTGTTGTCGCAGTCTGCGCGCGGCTCATTTCCTGAGAGCGGTGGTCCAGACGCGTCTCCGGTCCGCCTAACTACATTCCGGGGGCTGTCACGTTAATTGGCTGAGCGTGTAGTGTTCTCGTGAGCATGCGGTGCCGCTGAGCTCGATGGATAGAGTGGTGGCCGATGACTCTTACGAAATGAGAGGCTGAGGTGGAGGACTCGTCCGAAACTGTGTCCGGGAACCCTGCGTGGATGACCTGATGCTTTATAAGGTGATCGCCGGTACAGATATGTTCACTTCCTCGGTGCTTACTATATTGGCCCCACTGTCAGGGCGAGCTAGTAACGGCCAGCTGCCGGAGATGCGGCGGCCTCGTGCGGAGGTCGTGACTGCCCTTCCGCTCTCGTGCTGGCGTACTATGCTCCTGAGGTGTGTGCACTCTGCAGCGTCCGTTTTCCTGTGAGGTAGGTCGCTCGCGACCGCCTCGCCTGCAGCAAGCGGCTGAGCCCGTTTTCCTCTGCCGTTGTTATGCAATGCCGGCTGTGAGCCACACAGCTGCCATATGAATAAGAGGAGCGAGGCTGTGCCCGCCGAATGTGATGAATCGCTGTGTTGCTATTCAAACGGCTTATCTAAATATCCAGCCGAGAATATCCCACCGTTATAAGACGTACGATGCTGGAACTGCCTCAATAAATCCCGCTCGAATCACAGTAAATAACTAGTGGCGGGGTCTGAACAGGCGCCGTGGGCGCTCTCCGGCCGTGCGACTGAGCCGCCGGGCCTGTCACGCCGGCCCTCCGGGCGGGTCGGAGTAGATACTCTCCCTCGCCCGCCGAGGCCGTGTGATTGGCGGCGGTGCCACGGACGGGTTTTCCGGACTCGCGATGACCGTGCGGCGTCTGCGCGGCCTCGGTCCAGTCACGTCTTCCTGCGTCCGTCAGCCGATCCGTAACTGGCTGCATTCGGCCGGTCCAGGGTCGCGCGACTCTGGCTCTGACTCGGGAAGCCGCTAACTAGGCGTCATTATTCACCGGGCGGTGTCGTGTGGTAAATGGTTCGCGTTGATGGTCCGGTGATTTGTTGACAGTTCCGATTGTTTTGATTTAGTATGCAGTCCTGGCTGATGACAGTCGTCAGCTCAATCTCCCAATGCCCCTCCACCGAGGTCCTTGTCGCGGCCGAGTGGCAAAATAACGTTGGTTAGGCGGGCGGTGATTAATGCTGCTCGTGCCGCTGGAAGAAGTGTGCCGACTGCGACAGCGGGCCATTTGTTCGTCGCTGGTAGCCGGTCATTATCTCCGGCCCGGCCCGGGCTCCCGGACCGGCTCCGGCCAGCTGACTTATCGCGGCGCGGCCCCAGGCAAACGCCATTTATTCCCCTTCATATATCTCACCAGCTGAATGTCGAGCGTCAAGAAGTGTGGGGATCGCGCCGTCTTCCGTCTTTTCAAGTGCTCTATTAAAGTCGGTCGGAGATATCTCACTTCTTTACGGGAGCCGTTTTGGGAAGTTTTCCGGAGTCGGCGAGTGCGCGCTGGGCCGACGCGCTGGGATATTTCTGGGTGAGTGCCGGCGACCGGCACCGTGTGCCCGTCGCCGCCCCATCGCCCACTCCTAAATCGAGGCAAAGTTGGGCGTCCGATCCTCTCGATGATTGATGCGCCGGCTCTGTTGAAGTGCGCCCGGTCAGCTGAGCTCCCAGACGGCCGGTGCCGGCTCCGGGTCTGTGAGACGGCGCGGCGGGGCCGACCAGCCGCTCGTCCGTCCCGTCAAACAAAGACGCGCCGTCGGCAGCACGCGTCCCGGTCCGCCGCGCGGGGATTCAGGGAGGGTGGGGCGGCCGTCGGTCGCATCCCGTTACCGACAGCCGAGCACCGCCCCTTTGTCTCGCCTTCCTCTCCCACTAATTAATTGTGCCGATCAAAGTCATCGTTAAAGGAAGGGTGCCACCTTTTGGACACAACGCAGTTTTTACAAGATTAGCCTCACATGAACCTAAAAACCGGCTTCACTTACCTATGCTCGAGACGGTCAGCATTGAATCCGCACGTGAAGTTATCATTTGCGAGTTTTGCTGCCAGCATTCGGGCAGGCAAAAATCTTCAGCACTATTTCCTCGTCGTGTTAAGAGTATTTTATAAAACATGAAATCAGCAAAGGTATGTATAAAAGTTATACTTTTGAAGCATGTTTTATCATTTTGAAAGGGTATATTTTTTCTTTATGGTATACACTTAAGTTTTAAAATTTTAATTGGGAAGTTTTTCTAGTAAGTTGCATGAAGGGTGAAGGGTTCCATAGATCTCTTAAGCATTGTAAAGGAAAAACCTTTACTCGACTTATTTGATGTTCTTTTCTGATGTTCTTTCTGATGTTCTTTTGATGAAACCTTTAGTTCAAATCATGTTATCTTCTTCCTTTTTATTTGTTCATCTTTTTGTCTCAGTTGCGCCATCAATGCAAATGGCAGAATGATATGTTGCCATGACAACAGGATATGCCAGCCGTCCTAGCTGCCACATCAAACGACCTTGAGTTGTAGTGGTGATATAAACAACGATCTTTTTTTTTTAGCCAATGTATTAAATGCAATGTTTCGGTTTTTTGTATATTGTGGACGCGCTAACCACGTCTAAAAATTCAAATAAGTAAAATAGATTCATAGAACAAAAATTTCGGAAGGTGGCACCCTTCCTTTAATATGGTATGAAATCAATGTAATAAAAATGCTGATGATAGAGCATTCAATAGCCGTCATGTTGCGTATTTACACTTTGTCCTATTTTTCGCTTGTACGTTTGAAATTGTGTTTTGTTGATTGTTTTCCTGTGTGTCCAGTAAGCTCGGAGCGATGGGCCGACCGGCAGCGGATTGCGCCTCACTATCTCCCAATGCAATGTCTGCCCGGGGAACGGACGGCTTCCCACAGCGGCTTAGAGGCGTAAGCCGGCCGGCCGGGGGCGGCGGGCCGAGTCCGGCAGCTCTCCTCCGCCGACTGTCGGGAGCTGCGGCAGCTCGGCCGCAGTCTGTCCGTCTTCCCGGCGACTGTGTCACTCTCCCTGCTCCTCTGTGGCCGGTGGCCGCCTGGTAACTGGCCCGGCGGCAGTCACGGGGTCACGTCAGCCGTGGACTGCTCCCCGGCTCCCGCCGAGGATATAATGGCCGACAAATGCGGCCGTCCATTGAGTGGGGCCGCCCGCGGGCGGAGCGGCCGGCCGGCCGGCGACGGTCGTCAGGGTCAGACGCCGCGCCGCCGCCGCCGCGGGAGGACGCCGCCCGGCACCACGGCCCGCCGACCGCCCGTGACGCCGTGTGACGGCGTGTGACGCCGCCCGGGAGACTGCCATCCCGGGATGACCGGCGCCGGCCGGCCGTCTCGGTCGATGCCGCGGCAGCGCCGGTCGCCGCGCCGCGGGCCGCCGGCACCCGATCGGCCGTATCGTCAGCCCCCTAATGAGATGTCACCGGCCGAGCGGCGGGAAATGGTCGCGCCATCACCGCGGCGCGCGCTCTGCCGGCGCCGCCGCCCCCCCCCCCCGCCTCTGCCCGGTCATCTTGTTAGCGTTACCATCTTATCGGCGGCCGACGGCCCTCTGCCGTCCGCCGGCCATCGCTCTCTCTGCTCTCCGTCCGCCGGCTGTGTCTAATCTCGGCACTCTTTTCTCATTCCGGCCGACATCGTGCGGCGGTGTCCCTGTGCGGCCGGGACGCAGCTGTCTCCGGGTCGGCTGCCGTCCCTCCCCGCCGCCGGAGCGGCCGCCCCGACCGACCCCGCCCGCCCCCGGCCGTCCGCCGCTCTGACGCTCCCCGGGGACACTGGGACTCTCTCTGATCGGGGCCGACACGCCGTCACAAGGCCGGCGCTCGCCCGCCCTCTCTCCCAGCCTGTCGAGCTGTCGATGGAACGTTGGGGGATTTGGAACGTGGCTGACACCCAATGGAGACGTGCACTCTGCAGTAATACCTGTCGTGTGACATTTCCGTCGTCCCGCCCATGCCACTGTCTATTTCGCTGTCTATTACGCCATGTCTAGCCGGCTCCTCCTCAGACGGCACAGTGCGACGCTGTGACATGGTCAGCGGCAACCCGGAGCTGCGGCTCGTCCAGTGCCCGTCCACGGCTGGCTGGCTGCCGGCCGGGCGGCGACCCTAATTCAGACCGCCAGTGGCCCTGTGACACCTGTCGACGTTGGGGGTCCGTTTGGGGCCATCCTCCGCCTGCCGGGCACTCACGGACCGGTCTCAGAGACTTCCCTCGTGACCGGCCCCAAGAATAGTCCCGCCGTGCCCTGTGCCCCATCGGAGTCCCAGACGGTGATTATCATGACTGTTTGGCGAAATGCAACACAACGAAAAATGCCGAGTCTGAGTCGAACATGACGTCAGTGCCGTAAGGTGAACGGGACCAGACGCGGCCGACTCATCGGGGATTGACCACCTCGGGCGGGCCCCACTCACCAGCTGAACTTCAAAGGTCAACTCGTAAAGCTGGAAACTATCGGCTAATTCTCAATTGATAGCTATCTTCTCGCCATCTGTGGCCTGAATCGGTCTTCTAACTCTCTTCTGGAGACCATTGGCTTCGCCCACAAAGCCGTGTTCCTGCTGTGACCGACCTCACCTCTGCGTTCCAGGAGCTGCAGGCGGCGTTCCGGCCGAAGTTGGAGCTGACCAACATCCAGCTGCAGCCGGCCTCTCAGTCTGCCACGGCCCAGGTGCGGCGGCCCGAGCTGCTCGAGGAACCGGCGCGCTACACGGACGTGCGCCTGTCGAGCGGCGGCGGCCCGCTGACAGTCAGCCTGTCGGCCACGGACGGCCTGCTCTGCACGGCCCGGCTGCCGGCCGCCGTCACCGACGACGAGCTGCTCCGCACCGCCGAGATGTTCGGACCCGTCCGGTTCGCGTTCGTACTGCGCTCAGAGGCGACAGGTGAGATTCAGGTGGAGGAATAGAGAGGGGACGGAGGAAGGGGATAGACATGAGATCAGACTGAGATCAGTAGCCGAAGCCCTGACGGACGTCAGAGAAAGTCTGGGCTGCAACGGATGCTCAAGAAAACGCTGCACCGACCCAAGAGACGGCTAGAACACCCGCCCTTCACGTGCGCTCAATGAACCTAATCGGGCCATTGCTGGCTGTTTGGTCACCATCGGACGGTGACGGGCGCGCTGATTAACCCATTCAGCGGCCGACTGTCCCGGCGGAGGGCTGGTGCCCGTCGGGCCGTCGGTCGGTCCCGGAGGTCACCCCTCCCTCCCTCCGTTCCCGGGCGCTCTGATTCCATCTGCGGCGCATTACGTCCGCCACGCAGCCGTGATGGGCGATGGCACGTCGTGCGGCGGCTCTGCGGCTCGTCTCCGCCGCCAGCGACGGGAGAGGTTCGTCGTCAGCGACGGGAGGGTTCGTCGTCAGCGACGGGAGGGATCGTCGTCAGCGGCGGCGTGATGGAGTGGCCGCTGCCGCCGCCGCCGCGCACAGTTAGGGCTCAGCCACGCGGGAGGGCAGGGTGGGCGCCAGGCACGTACGGTGTGGATGGCTGCGACGTGGAGGGCGGGAGATTTATTTAGAAAGATGAGAGACGTGAGTAGATGAAAGGAGTTTTAACAACAAATAAGATGTCTAGATTATAAGGAAACAGGAAAATTGGACAACGTTCCAGCTGAAGGGTACTTTATGTTTAATGCTTGGTTTTCTTTGCTTATTCTTGACGTTCTCATCTGCCTAAAGGTAAATCTGCAGAATAGTATTTATGATGTTGGTTTATTTTCTTACGCCCAATATTAACTCTTCTGCAGTTAAATGAAGCCTTCTGGGATAAGGTCAGACCGCTATGTCTGACATTATTGGTCGTTACGAGGCCATTTGACTGCTATTATTGGGATGGTGGCGACTAATAAAATCCCTCCGCCCCCGGGACGGCGTCCGGCCGACTGAGGTGATGAGACGCCCCCCCCCCCCCCCCCTCGGACGGCGCGCCGGGCCGGGGTGTGATGAGACGCCCCCCTCGGAAGGCGCGCCGGGCGGGGTGTGATGAGACGCCCCCCTCGGACGGCGCGCCGGGCCGGGGTGTGATGAGACGCCCCCGTCGGACGGCGCCGGGCGGGGTGTGATGAGATGCCCCCCCCCCCCTCGGACAGCGCGCCGGGCCGGGGTGTGGTGAGACGCCCCCCTCGGACGGCGCGCCGGGCGGGGTGTGGTCCCACCGATGGCGGTCGGCAGCGTCACGCTGTGGGCGGCGGACGGGGGCGTCACGCCCGGCCAGGGGTGTCACAGACGGGCGGTCCCTGTCCTGCGTGACGGCCCGGCTGAAGGAGGCCGCCCCGGGTCACGCCGCGCGCCTAGGGCGTGACGGTGCCATTATTAGCGGGATAGGAGAGATCTCAACACACCAGTCAGGGTATACAATGACAAAATCGTTTGTGGGCCAAGCCTTTTTTTGTCTGAACTTATCGTTGCTAAGGAGGAAGCAGGGGATTCTCCGCGGTCATCTCCCCCAGTTCTTTCCCCTGACTGTTAGTTGTTCCAATGTCTCCCCCGTCATGTAGGGCCCTGCTCCCGTCTCCTGTCTTTCCCGTCGTCCATCTAGTTCAGTCTCCGTCTCCTCTGCCTCGTCTCCGTCCGTCTCTGCTCTGTCTTTATGATTGCGGCCTTCCTCTCCGCTCCGAGATCCACTCGGCTCTCTATTGATGACCGGCCGCTATCGCCTGGCGAATTAAATTTTCATCGAGCTGCTCGCCGTACGTCAGCTCCGGCGATGGCTGGGGCGTTCGCCGGGGTCGTCAGCGCCGATAAGCGACCACCGCTCAGCGTGGCCCTCTCCCGGCCCGCGGCGCCGTTCTGAGACCGTTCTCGGGCCATAGGCACACCGTTCCCGTCCGCCCATGGCCCGTTGGCACGTCGTTTTCGCGTAGTTTTGGCGCCGGGATCTGAGATATGACGGCGTTTCGCGGGGACAGGGAATAAGGTGGTAGCGAATTCCCTGAACGAGGAGCGGTTGGAAAGTGCTGACTTCGCTGAGAAGACTAGCAAGTGTTGAAGTTATCACTAGAATCTAGAACAGTGATGTCGCAGTCGTATGTTGGTTTGACCATGTCGATTGAATCTCCGTTCGATATGTCTGACTGGTGATTCGCTAACCGTATGATTGCGCCGATCGATGTGTCTGGCTCTGTTAATTCGCTGACCTTTAGATGTAACGATTGCCCGTGTTTTGTGTCGCGTTTCGTCATACGGTGCGGCCGATTAGCCCATTTTGTGTCCTGGTGCGCAGTGCTGACCGGTCTGCTGCCGACTCTCGCAGGCGCCAGCAAGGGCTACGGCTTCGTGATGTACGCCAGCAAGGAGTCGGCGTTCCACGCCAAGGGTCTGCTGGACGGCAAGGTGCTGTCGGGCTCGGCCATCATCTGCGACTGGGTGGACCCGACGCACACCACCATCAGGTCAGCGGCCCGCCCCGGTCCCGTCCCCGCCCCCGCCCCCGGCAGTCGCCACTGCCGCAGTCTCGGCGACTGCTCTTCACCGACTCTCTGTCTCTATCTCCGAGTCTCTCACTCTCTGATTCTCTGTCCACCTGTTAGCAGCTACTCTGACTCTGAGACTAGTCACACTGTCCGACTGTCGTCTCTCTCTGTCTCTCTCGTCTCTCATCTCTCTTTATGTCGCTGTCTGGGGCCGTGTGATCGGCCCGCCGCCCCCTATAGTTGACCCGGACGAGCCGCGCGGCGCACCGCCACTCGGCGGGTCTCTCTTATCGGACCCCTGTTCTCTCCTGTAGCTAACGCCGTCGGCTTCTGTGGTTTTCAGATCTTTGCATTCCAAGTGTTTGCACGTGGCGAATCTGCCGGCCGGCTATAAGAATATGGGCGAATTTAGACAGCTATTCTCTTGCGTACAAAACCCTCCTTACTGCCAAGTAAGTATTCGTTTTATTGGCCGACACTGCCCCTGTGGTAGAAGCTTTGCTTGGTTTCGCCTTGTTCACTTTTGTTTTTCTTTTTGTTTGCCGTAATCGTTACTGTTTCCGCTCTTTGTAGCATTTCCAGGCCAAGTAGCTACCTCGGGCGCAGTGTTGGATGCGTGTCTTCGCCTCTGTCGTGTATCGTGTGCCGCTCTTACCTGTCGTGCTGCTGCTATACTAAATACTGTCGTCGCTTCTTTAACCCCGATCTAACTTTGAAAATATAGCAACAGTTGCTCTCCGCTCTATGCCACTTCTCGCTGCGCTCTTGTCTTTGTATTTAGTGCTGAATGCCCGCTGCGGCTGCTGTTGTTCGACAGTGCGTATGAAGTTTTATCTGCCTGCTTGTCTGTCTGCCTGTCCGGTACGTCTTCCGAGTGATATGCCAATCTGTATACAGATTACAGGACCCCGTTAACTGTCGCCCCCTCTCACTCCGTGACCCGTGTTGGCGTGTGCCGCCCGCTCCGACTGTGCCCACTAATGGCCCGCCCTGCCCGCGCTCACTCGGCCCAGTGTGCTGCTCATTGTTCTCGGTGTAACAGGGCCGGCACTGAGTCGCTCTGTTCGCGGTGACGGCGCGGCGGAGCGGCCGCCCGGGCTGGCAGCAGCTCGCCGGCAGACGGACACGCGCGCCTTGTCTGTCGGCCGGCCGCGGTCTGTTTGTGGCGGCTGTTGTCCGCGGCCGGCCGGCGCTGTTTGCGCCGCGGCGGTAACATGCGCGACCCGGCGGGCCAGGTCACCGACAGAACACAGGCCCGCCCGCCGCCGCCGCAGCTCGTTCACGCGTCTGTTTATCGCACGCCCGTTGACTGACGAGCGGCGGAGCCGGCCGCCGCCGCCGTCTCCGTCCCCGTCTGTCCGTCCCGGTCATTGAGGCGAGGTGACACGCCGTGGCGGCTCTATTCAGCGGCGCGCGAGGCAGCGCCGACCGTCGGCGGCGCCGCTGAATGCCTGGACGGGCCGTCCGCGGTCGTCGGACGGAAGTGACACTCCAGCGATGCAGCTGCAGCATCACGCTGCACCAGGACTGACGTGAAGAGCTCGGAAACCGACTGGTCGCCCGCTGGAAACATCCACTCCAGCGCGACCGGCAAAAAAGGGTCATAGAAATTGGCGCACACGCCTTTTCCATTTAGCGGTGTGGTTCGATTGGTCGCCATTCGTCACAGGGACCGCCCGCCGCCGACGGCCCGCTCCTCTCAGAGTCGATCGCGGCTAGCGCCGGCCGCCGCCGACCGGTCTCTCGTCTGTCAGAGTCTGTCCGCCGTCGACAAAGTGGTGATAGAGTCTCGATGGGCTGCCGAGCGGCGATCCGCGCAGTTTCCGCCCCGGGCGTCATCGCTGCACGGCCGGCTGCCTGTCCCGGATCACCTCATCTGTCCCGGGCTCATCACCTGTCTGGGGACTCCCTGACATCCGCGAACGGGAAAGAACAGCTCGTGACGGAACTGACTGGTCCTGCGGCATCGCCTGCGCTCTGCTCAGGTAGCTGGCCGGCCGGCGTATCGATTCTAAACACGCAATCTGGGGCCGATCGCCGCTCGGCCGGCGATGAGAGCGCTCGAGCACGCCGTCGGACGTGCTCGATGGCGGGCGAGCACGGCGCTCGGCGTGCTGCCGCCCGCCGGCGCGGCGTTATTGCCGATACGAGTGCCTCGGTGGACCGGCCGGGCCGGCCGACCGGACTCGATGGATGGCGGGCGAATGGCGGCGCGGCTTCGGCCGACCCCGGCCGCCCGCTTTGATGGATGACCACGTTCATTACGAGCGCTGCTGCCGGGCTGAGCGGCAGAGCGCGGCCGATCGTGCTCAGTTCCCCTCCCCGGCCGGCGCGGGGACCACTGCATGACCAGACGTGACCGGAACTGCCGACCCGGGCGGTGGCCAGAGTTGACTGCCCGTCACTGGAAACGCTGGCACCGACGGCGACGAGGGTGGCTCGATTACCGCGCGGCGCGGAGGGCGGGAGCGCGGAGGGCGCCGGCCGCCTCGCACCTACCTACCGGCTTCACAGTCGGCGAGCTCAGTGTAAACAAGGCCGCGGATCAAAGCGTCTGGTCCGCCGCGGCCGGTCCTCCTTCATCGCGACGCAGACGGCGGGAGCCGCCGCCGAGCGGGAGCGAGCCACAGATGATTTTCGGCCGGCCCTGGAGCCAGCGATCCGCGACTGGCTGAGAGCCGCTGAGAGGAACGGCCGACGCCGTCGACTCAGCTCTAATAACGAGCTCACCATCGACGGCACGTACCCGCGAGCGTGATTTGAATTGAGTGCCGCAGAGAGGGACTGTCCCGGGAGTATTTGGGACCGCCTGTGTGGGATGAGACGGGATCTCCCTTTCTGCAGAAAGGAGCTCTGCAAGCTGGTGTATGAATTACCGAGTTCAAAACCACCTCCTCCGTTTTATTCCCCGGAGAAGTTGGTACCGACTTTATCCGTAACTTACTTGAGCTGTGTGTGGAGTGGGGCCTGGACCTCGCGGTTTATCTACGATGAACCAAGCCTTATGTAACACACGCGCTCAATAGATGTTTAGCAACATCCATGTCCTTAGCAAAAAGCTGCATTTGAGACTTAGAAGTTTATGAAGTGTAAACCCGTGATTGAACTCAGTCAGTTAATTGAATAACAGTTGCAAGAAGAAAACACTCGCTATCCTCTGCGCTGTATCTTGTCCCGCTCCCCAGTGTCCTGTGACTGTCAGTCCGGGTCGGTCGCCAGTCGCCGTCAGTTATCTCGCCTTGGAGCGCCGCGGCCGACGGTCGAGCCGCTCTCGGACACAGCGGCGGGGCGCGGTCGGAATACATCGGCCGTCCTGTTCCCGTTATCGACACCGACAGACGCCATCACTTAGCGGCGATGGACCGGGCCGGGCCGGCGGAGGAGGAGGACGCTGCGCACAGCGCCGCTGCGAACTACCCCGGTCCGCGGCCGCCCTGTCCCGGCTATTTGGCTGATTGGACCTCTGTTTGAGCGGCGCGCCGGCGGCGTCTGGGGGTGCGGCGGCCGGCCGCGCCGCTCCGTACGGCCTCCTTACGGCGCTGTTAGCCTGAGTGCGGTACGGCGTTTGCCGCTCGGATGGCGGACTTCATCCGTCTCGTCTCGGCCGTTCCGGCTCTCTTGCATTTCGCTCAGTGGCGATGTGTGCAGCGGGAATGGGGCCGTGGCGGAGCCAGCCGGCCGGCTCGGCCCGTCGGTTTGCGGTAGCGGCTGCACCATACCGCGTGTGCCGACATACTCGCTCAGTGCCGTCACGGCCTCCTACGGCGTATCGTGACATCACCATGCACCACGTGCTGAGTATTCCCCTATGCGACCACGTGCAGCCCCGCCCCGACCATGGCACTCGGTAGGCACCTCTGCAGCGTGGCCGGCCACTGATACCGTCCCGTCTGCCGGAGCGCTCACCGCTCCTTGTTTGTCCGCGATAGGCGGCCGGCGGGCCCTGGCGTCGGTCGGGCCCGGTCACCGATACCCCTGAGGCGCGCCCTGCGCCCCGCTGTCGGACTGTGCGGCGCCGGCCAGCTGCCCACCAGCTGACCCGCCGATCGATTGTCCGCCCCGCTAATTTGGCCACCGACCTTTTCGGCGCGCCTGTATCAATTGCACGATGATAAACGGCGCCCCGGGCGGGATGAAGACAGCCGCCTGCCGCTGAACTTCGCGCACCCGCCGGGGGCTGGCGGTCGGCCGAGCAGTAGGCGGCAGCGGCAGGTCCCTCATCCAGCCTCACTGCCGCGCTGGTCCGCAGCGTTTGCCGGCGGGCCGGGAACAGCCCTAGCGGCGTGGGTGGCGGGCGGAATGGGTCCTCTCAGTTCCGAGACTAATCCGTCACTGACTGGCCCTTGGGCACAGGCCAAACGGCGGCGAACAGACGGTTTCATTACGCGAATTTCCTGTGGGAACTCCGCACCCGCCGGCGTGTTTTATTCAGTCATAACGGACGCTGAGATAAACAAATAGCCTGTTTGAGCAATGACTTGGTTCGCTTGAGTAAATACACAGTGTCTGATTTCCTTAGTGATCGACAGTGCTGTTCGCGACCGCTGATTTCAGCAATATTTATAGCCGGTCCCTGCACCCCACCCCGCCCTGCAGCTGTGGTCTGAACGTAACCGGTGTGTATGACCCGCCGTGACCCGAACCTGACTGATCATGTGCCCGCCCGACCGGCAGATCGCGCTGAAGAACGGCTCGCCGCAAGACTGGGGTCTGGTCGAGTTCATGTCGGCCGATGTGGCCGAGAAGACCTGGCAGCAGATGCAGGGCCACCAGCTGCGCGGCAGCCGGCTCCAGGTGCACTTCTGCATGCCGGGCGTGCGCGCCATCGACATCTACATGCGGCTGCTCAACGAGGCGGCGGCCCCGCGCGGCCGCTCGGCGCTGCTGCCCGACCCGCCGGCGCCCGCCGTCTACCAGCAGATGAAGAACCTCAGCCAGCAGAACCCGGCGTTCGCGCAGAACCTGCAGAACATCGTCACCTCGCAGATCTCGGAGCTGCAGCAGGAGATGGCGCAGAGCGGGTACGCGGCGCCGCCTCCGCCGCCAGTGGTGGTCAGCGCGGCGCCCACCCGGCCGCCCCCGCCGCCGCCCCCGCCACCGGCGCCGGCCGCCGCGCCGCCCGTCTCTCCGGCCATGTTCGGCCAGCCGATGGTGTTCCCGGCCAGTATGGTGGGCCTGATGCCGCCGCCGCCGCCGCCCGGCGCCCTCCGAGCCATGGCTCCTCAGGTACGTACCGGCCCGTCCCGGGCCTCGCCGCCCGATTACGGCACGCCGGCCCGGCTATTGATTTGTAGTGCATTAATCTGTCACAAGTCGGCTGCGAGCGGCTCAGCGGCGCAGATCGGCTCTCGGGCCGGAACCGGAGCCGGAGCCGGAGCCTGATGTGTTGTCGTGGCGCGCCGAGAGATTAGCAGCGCCAGCCCCTTTTACTACCGAGTTATTGCCGCATGTTGTGATGCCAGACCCTAATTGCAGCCGCGACGCTGTGCATAAGATATCGGCGCTGTGCGGCGCGGCTCCGTAATCAAATGACAGGCTGATTGCAGCCGCGCCGGTTAATGAAATGCACTGGGCGTGATCAGCGTACCGCTGGAGTCTGGTCCGAATTCCTCGACCTGACGTCCCCTCCCCGGCTGGGTGTGCCTCGACCTGACCTCTGCAGGTCACCCTCCCCGGCTGGGTGTGCCTCGACCGAATTCCTCGACCTGACCTCTGCAGGTCACCCTCCCCGGCTGGGTGTGCCTCGACCTGACCTCTGCAGGTCACCCCTCCCCTTAGGCGTGCCCTCAGCCTGACCTCTGTATGTCACTCCCTCCTAGGGTGCTCCCGACCTGACCTCTGCTGGTCAGGTCACCCCCTAGCTGGGTGTGCCCCCGGCCTGACCTCTGCAGGTCACCCTCCTCCGGGTGCCCTCGGCTGACCTCTGCAGGCCATCCCCTCCCCTGGGTGCCCTCAGACGGACCATTAGACCTCTGTATACAGATGTCTATGGACGGACCCACGCGCCCGTCGGCGCCGATCGGGATTAGCATTGGCCCGGCTCTATCTGTCGCTGCCCGCTGTAACGGGCGCGTGGCGGGCCGCCGGGTCCGCGGCCCGGCTCAGCCCGGTGACACCGAGCAGTTAATGAGCGCTCCGCTCTGCCGGCCGACGGACCGATCCGAGCCCGGCCGGCCGCCGCTGGATTAGCTCTGTAGCCGGAGCGCTGCGGAACGTCGGACCGTGTCGGACGACCCGGGCTCAGCCGGGGAGGGAGGGAGGGTGCGTCGGCGAGCACCCACGCAGAAAGGAAACGGCTGTAATGGCAACGAGGCACGCACCAGCCGGTCCGGAAATCGACCCGGCCGAGCGCGCTCAAAAGGCGGCGCGGCGCTGTAGACACCGTTTGAGGAATTAGTGAGCCTCGCCCGTTTGATTCATTTCAATCTAAATTTATCCGCGAGAATGAATTCAGCAAACACCTGGGCTCGAGATGTGCTTTGATTAATGTTTGGAACTTGCCTTTGGAAGTTGCAATTAATCGCGCGCGAACTAACGACCGCAGATTGTGGCCGCCGGGAACATAACATCAATTATCACCGGCCGAAATTAGCGTGCGACGCCATCCGTCAGAGCGGGGCGGGGGTCGGTCGGACGGAACAATGGCTCGTCTGAACTCTGAAATATCGCCGCCAGGGAAAACAGCTCCTCGGGTGCCCGTTTCTGCCGCCGGTCGTGTCGGTGCTGTTTTCGTACCGGCCGGCCTGACGGGCTAACGATAACTAACCGTCTGACGGGCGGCTGTGACGTCAGGTGGCGCTGGTTCAGCTGGCGCCCGCCCTGCAGGGACGCCCACCGCTGTCCGGGGGGCCCGCTGGAACACCCATCGACAGCTGATCCTCCGGAACACCCACCGACAGCTGACCCTCTGGAACACCCACCGACAGCTGACCCTCTGGAACACCCACCGACAGCTGACCCTCCGGAACACCCGCAGTGGCCCGGGGACCCGCTGGTACACACCGCCACAGAAACCCGGTGGGAACACCCACAGTCGCCCTAGCCGCTGCACTGAGACGCCCACCCCACCCCACCGACCCGCCGCACTGAAACACCTACCCCCGGGCTGACGTCCCGCCGTGTGTCTGTTTCAGTACTACGTGCCCGGCCTGGCGGGCCTGCTGCCGGGCGGGTTCGCGCCCGGCCAGCTGCTGCCGCCGCCGGTCTCCGTGGCCAGCTCGCCGCTGCTGCTGCCGCCGCCGCCGCAGCTGATGGCGCCGCCGCCGCCGCTGCCCGTCTCGGCCGCCGACCCGGTCAGTCAGATGAGCGACGAGCTGCAGAACACCATCTCCTCGCTGATGAGCAAGGCGCAGGGCCTGAACCAGCTGCTGGCGCTTATGAACGGCCAGAAGGCGGCGGCGGCGGCGGCCGGCTCGGTGCCCTCGCTGGCGCTGCCGCCCACGCCGCCGGCAGAGGACTCGACTCAGTACGTGGGCTCGCTGCTGCAGGCGCTGCAGAACGCCCAGGCCAAGGCGGCCGTGTCGGCGGCGCCGCCGTCGTCGCCCGTGTTCTCGATCGGCGGCTCGCCCGTCACGCCACAGGGCCAGAAGCGCAAGTACCACCACCTGCTGCCCTCGCCCGAGCCGTCACCGGAGACCGACTTCATCGGCCAGCACTCGCAGGGCCTGGGTGGACACTACGCCGAGACCTACCTCAAGCGGAAGCGGTACTGATTGCGGCCGGGGCGGCCGCGCCCGGCCGACCCTTCGTGTCTCTGTCCGTCAGCCTGTTCGTGCCCAGTGTCCGTTTGTCCCCGCTCCTGTTGCGCTTGTCCGCGGCCGGCGCACTCTCCCCCAGGCCGGGCGCCGTCTTGATTGGGTGCCTTGGTAAGAGGCTTTCAAGAGATCAATTTTAGTCTTCGTGCGCGCACGAGACGGCGAGTTTGAAACCCTGGCGAGTTCACTATCAGGTGATGTAGCTAGAGACCGGCCGTCTGGCTCGCGTCAGTCGGCCGTCTCACAATTGTACATATTCGGGTTTTACAGCGCGACGCGGACAGTGCCGGAAGCCTTTTCGTGCGACCGGTCGCGACCTTTTCTGTGCAGTTTTGTTACGTAGCCGAAGGGCATTTTTACTGGGCTCAGTTGTTCGAACTTTTGAGACGGCCGCCTGTTGACTGGCCGGTGTACATGCATGATCTCATCTGGCGCGGGGAAGGTGAGGGAAATTTCTCAGATTCCGAGGGCATTGTTGTGCGCTGCCGCGGGCGCGCCGTTCAGAGGACCAATCCGAGGCGTCTGTGAGGGCTCCGGCCGAGCCCCTGTTGTACATAGCCAGCCGTCCAGTGCAGAGAGTGAGCCGGCCGGCGTCAGCAGCCGGCTCCAATACACATACTCAGCCCCGCCTTCCGTCTCTGTCTGTCTGTCTGCCTGCCTGCCAGTCTGTCCGTCTGTGATGCCTCAGCCCGTGACCCAGGTCGCTCAGGGAGGGGGGGGGGGGAGGGGAGTCGGGGACACGGATGTTGTGCGGTGTTTTCCGCCACTCCGTCTACTGGCACGAGACTCCTGCGAGCAAACAAACAGCCATTACGTGACTAACGTTTATTCCGGCGCGCTTTTTAGTCTCTTCGGTGAGCTCTCTTCCGACGTCTTCGTTTTCTTCTCGCCCCTCAGTCGTTCTTCCTTTTTGCTCTTGTAGTCGGCGACGTTGTCGAACCACTGTTTGAACAACCAGGTGACCTCCTCGGGAACTTCGAACGTTTCTGCGAGCACACATTACCAATTTGTGAGGGCACGACACATTGCGCTACACGACACTGACCGGTGTTGAGAGGGGCGAAGTCTTATGAGCTGAGGCGACATTCAACAATGTCTTAAAGACCAGGGACAGTCTGCACGGTAGTTATGATAATCCCATCAATCATAAATGCTTCACAAGAATAGCAATTAAAGACAACCATATACTAAAGCAGTCCGTGGATACAGCAATGGCATGGCACCCGTGATACCCAGCAGCTCACAAACATCAGTACGTTATCATGCCAACATAATTCCACATTTTCAACATCAGTCAGTCCACCTGGGGATTGTCCTGACACCTGGACAGTGAGCAGAGCGCCAAACAGCCTCTTAGCTCCCCATTAGCCGTGCGGCGGCACGTGGCGCGCGTCCCAGACCGTCCGGCCCTCATTCCATTCCGAGCGGGCGCCGGCAGCGGTCGTCACACCCGCGCACCCATCACCACATCAAACGCGGCTCCGTCCGTCCCCGCGCCATCCGGTGACGCTAACGGCGACAGACACGGCCGCGCGACACCCACCTTTGAGCTCGCTCCAGAGCCGGGCGGCGGCAGTGGCGCGCGCTCCGGCCGGCTGCAGGGTCAGCCGACCGTCGGCGGCGGCGCGGTACTCGACCAGCGGCGCCTCGGGGTCGGGTCGCAGCACCAGCAGCCGGTCGGCGGCGGCGGCCACCGCCCAGGGCGCCGCCGGCTGGCGGAGGGCGCCCTCCAGGTCCGGCCGGGGCGTCAGAGTGTCGCCCGACACGGAGAGCACCACCAGGCGGCTCCAGCTGCCGGAGGAGCGGGGCAGTCAGTGGTGGTCCTAACTCAACGCGGGGTCCGGTCAGTACAGAATACAGATGGACCACGGCGCTGGAGCCGCCAGTGACTGCCGCCGCCGGCGCGCGGTTCGGCAGCGCGCGGCAGATGAGGCGTAGCACATCCTGCAGCGGTGAGCAAGTGGCGCACGTGACTGGCCCCAATAACGGAGAGCCGTGGCGCGCCGTGACCGGGAGCCGAGCTTTGTGGGCCGTCCCGGCCATCGGCGCGGCGAGCCGGGTCAGCGCCGCAGTTCTGCACACACACCGGCGGAGTCGGCGCCGCCAGAACTGGCCGAGAAGTTGGTCAGACAAGTCGCTAACACTCTCCACTGCTTAGCAGCCGAAAAGGGAACTCGCGGATCACTCACAGATCGAAGTCAAACCCCAGAGCAGTCCCAAAACAATCGAAATCGATCGTTTGCAATGTTTCAATGTTTCATAACGTACTGCCAGCTGCACTAAGGAAGTCTGCAACGCAGTACATCAAGCATGTGACATTCAGCACATCAATACTGACCCTGGACACTCAACACAGCAACAGGCCTCCAGCACGACGACATTAAACATTAGGGACAATACTACGACGCTCCCCCGTGTAGCCGTGACGAATAACACCTGTCGTCGGAATGAGGAACAGGTGTTAACGACAGGAAACGACGCATTGCAAACATAACGACATAACTAGACTTTGCATTAGGGTCTTATCATCACACGAATTGGACAACCCTTCCACGGGGCCGCGCATTCCCCGCTGCCGTCGGTTGCGCAGTGCGCCAGCAGGACTGGACAGTGGATGCAGTCACCGTGTAACAGAGGCAGTCGATACGCTCCCCTCTGGCGGTATTGACTCCCGTCGCTGCCGCGGACACCACTGACAGCTGGGTCCCGCGATTACCCCCAGACCCACCGCGTAACGTCCCCGGCTGGACAGGACAACATCGATACCGATTACACGCCGCCGGAGGGGCGCCACGCGGCGTACCGCCGCCGTGACCCGGACCACCGACACGGCACCCGTCCGACCGACTTAGTCCGCGGCCGGCGCGCGGCTCGGCCGACCCTAATACTCCTCCAGCCTGACGCGCCGGCCGCTGCCAGGCCGTGACCAAACTGCGGCCGGCCCCCGCAGACAGCCGGAAGGCCGACGACGTCACCGACAAACCAGCCGAGCTGACTATATTGGCCGCGACGGACGACCAACTAACCCGTCCATAGACTGATGACTAACCCGTCTGATGGCCCCGACTGATGACCGACTAACCCGTCCATAGACGCTGCGACTGATGACTAATCACGCCTCTCCGGTCGTCCGTCGCCGGTGTCGACACCTGTCACAACATTAAGACGCCGCCGCCGGGTTTGATGGGCCGTGCCCGCGCCCCACAGATGCACCAGCGACGTGACGACGTCACTCCCACCGTGACGGAGCTGACGTGACGTGACGCCTGGCAGCGCGGCGCCCGCGTAAAGGAGCGCAGGCGGTACGCTCCGGCTGTTTTTTAGTAGGCTGGCACTACCCGACTGTGGGAAATAATTTAGGGCAGGAATCGCAGAAAACGCCAGGGCGCAGCCGTCTAACAGCCCAACAAACTGCAACCCAACACGAATAGCAAATAGTGGCGGTGCCAACACAAGCCCGCCGAGCCGGCGTCCGCCGCCAGCCACGTCAACCCCCGAGTGAAACGGCACAGGCATGTGATATCTCTTCTTGACTTCCCTGTCTTTGCTACAGCTCGCGCATGATTACCGACGTTTCTTTTATGTCAGCACTATTTATTCCCTGAGTGAACAAGACAGCCAGCAGAGTATACGATTATAAATGATGTATGTGAAGACAGTGAATATGGATTATGTATTTATTGAACCGATGATGGTGTGTAAAGGTTACTTTCTGGTGAGGAGCCTGTCTGGAGATCGGCCAGTACGTTACGTTATTTAGTGATACGAAATACACTCTACACAAATGTCTGCCACATTATGTAGATGTACGACATGCAGCATGACCTACGACGGTGCGGGGAGGCTGTATCCGTTGCCGATCACCACTCCTTTCCAGAGGCACGGAGAGACACCGGCGGACCGCGGATCCCGGCCGGGGCGCCAGTTTGCTTAGCGTGTAGGACGGCAGCGCCTGCTCTCGCCCGGAACGCCGGCTTAATTTCGCCAGCCAAATGAAATAACGCTTCTCAAACACTCAGGACAGATTTATAGTTAATTTTCGCAGCTAAGCCGCCCGAATTCCCACTAACCATGGCGTTAATCATGTGACTGTGATAATTCAGGACGAGCAGAAGGTGCCTCATAAATTGCTTGCACGTATAAAGTAGCTACGACAGCCGGTATCTCCCGGACCCGACCACCGCCGTAGAAATACAACCATGGCGGTCTGGTGCGGGTCCGTAAGAACGTCCGGCTGAAAGGCGTGCGAGTTTTGCTTTTGTTTTGTAAAAGTGACAACAGTGACATTAACTGATTATAAGGAACGGGCCAATGTGCTGTGACGCATCTGGATAGAATACCAACGGCAACGCACAAAGCGAAACAACAGCATGACTGCATGAAATACTGACAACATCAGAGAGATGTTTACAGCAGCAGATTGAATGCTGCTTTCAAGAACTAAGTTGGATTGCTAAAATGGAACTACGAAAGCAAAACGAAAAAGATTATTTCAACCAGTGCCAGAGCCAGGTCAGAGTCCTGTAACCGGAAATTACATTTCCCTATTCCATAAGTTTCTGCCAACATCAACCAGGGAAGAGAACTAATGCTAATGTAACGTGAGAAATCACATTGATATCGCCCGCACTCCGCTGGACCCCCGACACCAGGCGCGGTATAGGACACGCGCCGGCCGCTCAGAGATTCTCTATCCGGGAAACGCTGCGCGAAGCGCCACTATCGTCACACCACCTCCAACGGAGCCGTAACACGCGGTGCTCCAACTCATGGACACGGGATCAGTGTGTTCAAGCGGATGGACGGGGAAGCACAGTGCTCCAACGGATGGACGGGTGGAGGGGGGGGGGGGGCACGGTGTTCCAGCGGGTGGAGGGACAGGACAGGTGCTTCGGCAGATGGACGGGGTAACACGGTGTTCCGTTAGATGGGCGGGGAGCACGGTGCTCAGCGATCTCTGCAACGACCGAGTGACTAGCTCGAGTTCAAGGGTCGAGCTGCAATGGGTCAAGGTAAATTACGGAATGGCTCAAAAACAACCCTAGCGAGAAAGCTCCAGCATAATTCAAAAGAGCCGTGTTACACTGCCACCCACGTTCAATTTCCGATCCGGATCTCCAAAGCTCCGAGTTCAATGATGCAGATGTGCCCGGAGTAGTTTTGGGGACACCGGCAGCATCAAAAACAGCGTCTGACCGCGAGCCGACCCGTCAAAGCCGACCTCAGAGGTCTGTTCATAAAGCAGTGGTCACCAGACGACCCAGCCGACGACACGGGCTAACGGAGCTACATACACTGCTCCGTAGAACCTGTAACGGATGCTAGGTCCGCGGAAACAGAAGTCATTAGTGAGGATCAAATATACCAAAAAAATATGTATCTCAAATAAATGTGCATCTCTTACTAGGTTAGTCTACCCTCGGGATAGCGCACCACATTTTCCTCGGAGCTCCACGAAACAATATAACCCGTTCGCGCTGTACTGTAAAGCACTCCTTCTCTATGGAAGGAAAACAAGAGCTGAGCTAAATAGCTCCTTAGGGGACATCACGCATACCGTTAACCTACTGTGCAACACATCATCTCGGGCCACGCGCAGTTGAGAAGCTAGACAGATTAAAATATATGAT